CGTGGTGGTGGTGGGCTCCTGCATGACCGACCTGGTCAGGTTTGTCCGGGGCCAGTACGCAGAGTCCGGCTGGCGAGGGGGGCGTGTGCGCTTCCCTGCGGAGGCGCGGGGGCCGTGCGGATGAACTGTGCTGGGTTTTGGCGTGAGCTGCGGGTTCCCCCAGCCCGCAGGGTGCCTGATGGGCTGCAGGAGGTAGGGTTAGTGTGTCAGGCGAGGGGACATTGTGGCCAGGGCGTCGTGAACGCGCTAATGGTCCTGGAAGCGCCTCCAAAGCCCTCCTCCTAGTTTCCTGGCCAGGCTGCTGAGCCCCCCTGAGCAGTCATTTTACCCCCAAGAACGTGATGTGCCTCCCTGAGCTGTTGGGAGGACTAAAGGAAGTAAAGGGTTTTGGCCCGGAACCCTATCCAAGCTGGGTATTCTTGTCTGAGCTTCTATAAAATAAGTGGAGCCAGAGGTCAAAAAGGCGATCAGTCACCTTTAGCCATATTGATTGTTGGCATCCCTGCAGCATTACATATTTACAACTTATTTTACAGCATTCTAGTAACCATGGATGGCAACACAAGTGTGAGTCAAATAAAACCCAGTAAACACAATATTTAATCCATTTTTAAAAATATTTTTGTCTGTTTTTAAATATATTTTTAATCAATTTCAGAGGAAGGGAGAGAGAGAGAGAGATGGAAACATCAAAGATGAGAGACAATCGGCTGCCTCCTGCACGCCCACACTGAGTATGGAGCCCTCAACCCAGCCATGTGCCTTGACTGGGAACCCATCAATGACCTACTGGTTGATAGGTCGATGCTCAACCACGGAGTCACACCGGCCGGGCTACATCCATTTTTTCAAGTGATCAAATCATGGCCCTAGCTGATTTGGCTCAGTGGACAGAGCCTCGGCCTCATTTGGGTCAAGGGCACATGCCCGCGTTCAGGGCTCTATCCCCAGTGGGAGGCAGCCAATCAATGATTCTCATCATTTACGTTTCTTTCTCTCTCCCCTCTCCCTTCCTCTCTGAAATCAATAAAAATATATATTTTTTAAAGTGATCAAATAATGAAAGAATGGTTGATGAGATTAGATAGGGAGAACCTTTCAATTTATCTTTTTTTATGAAAACGGTTTTATTATAAAAGTAGTATTCATTGTTTTAAAATAAATAAAAGGATCAGGTATTCCAAGAAAATCGTACCACCCAGATTGCTTGAGTTTAATATTTGGTGAATAGCTTTTCAATATAATGTTATTTTTATATTATAAAAATAAAAAATGATCAGGCATTACTACAGTAAGACCTCATCTGTCCTGCAACCTTGCTTTTCCAAAAGATAGCAGAGAACCTAGAAATAAATAAAAAGACCTTGGGACAATCAAAACAAGTCACCAAATCCCAGCACCAAGCCACCTTTGTTGTTTTTTTAAACTGGAAAATAGTCCTAAGGTCTTCACATAACCAATTTAATCTTATGTAGCTTAAAATGTTTATAAGCTCAAATTTCCAGGCCAAAATTAGAAAAAATGGAGAGTCAAGGGGAGAGACTGCTAGGGATAGATAATAGTGATTGCCCAAAACCTGAAAGTGAATGGGAGAGTGTAACAACAACCAACAAAAGAATTTTAAATGCCAGGAGCCTTTGTTTTTCCACAAATAATTGAGCTACCTTGTCAGACACTGTGCCAACATAGATGTCCTTCCTTTGGTGACAGCACATAACATTCAGCCTAGTTGTGAAGAGGCCTACACATCTTTTTGTAGAGCAAGAGTCAGCAAACCTTTCTGTAAAGAGCCATATAGTAAGTATATAAGTTCTATTCTTTAAAAAAAAACAACACACACACAACTCTAAATATGTAAAAACTATTCCTATCCCCCAGGTCTTGTAAAAACAGCCTTCAGGTCATAGTTTGCTGACTGTTCTCCAGAGCATCACTGTCTTACAGCCCACTATAGTAACTGATGTTAGTCATATGACTCTTTTCAAGAAAAGACAATATGGTACCCGTTAAATTTTATATAAAAGTAGGGTATGTGTTTTTTAGAAACCATTCCATCAAATATATTGAAAGCTTGTTACTTAAAGGAATAGGTCTTCAATAAACCTTCAGACATCTAAAGTAATAGATTACTTAGAAAATCCATCTGGCGAAATTTTTACCATAGGTGAAGTTGCAGAAGAGTAAGAAAGCTAAACAGGTTTCCCAAGTAACCTACCTAAAAGGGTCAGGGTTAAAATTCAGAGCCACTTTCTTGTTCCACTACATAGGGGCTTTCTGTGAAGCTTGACCCTCAGACATTAAAGATAAATTACAGTACTTCCTAAAATGAATACTCTTTTAATGTTGGGGATGGTGGAATGTCCAAGACCCATGTTAGCATCTGTCAGGATTTTAAAATCTCATTTCAGAGCTAGAGGAACTTAGAAATTTTTTTATCCCAGCCCTTCAGTTTATAGATGAGTAAACTGAGTTTTTCATGGTGGGTCAACTCTAATGCAGTGGTTCTCAACCTTCTGGCCCTTTAAATACAGTTCCTCATGTTGTGACCCAACCATAAAATTATTTTCGTTGCTACTTCATAACTGTAATGTTGCTACTGTTATGAATCGTAATGTAAATATCTGATATGCAGGATGGTCTTAGGCAACTCCTGTGAAAGGGTCGTTCGACCGCCAAAGGGGTCTCGACCCACAAATTGAGAACCGCTGCTCTCATGTCTCTTCTCTTGCCATTGTGTTACCTTCATAATAGGTTTCTATTCCTCACATGAATCACTAGTGAAAATTTTATTCTTCTATAGACTCTCTCCCATGACTTTCCTACAAACTTCTCATGGTATCTGACTTCTGCCTCTGAGGATCTTTACAGAATACCTGAGTATGGGTTTTTTGGTTAAAACCAAGCATCTGTGATAAACTTGAGTCCAGCTTTGCTAGTTATGATACATGTCATGATTGTATTAGTTTCCTATTGCTGCTGTAACAAATTAACACAAACGTAATGGCTTAAACAGTACAAATTTAATTGAGTTCTGGAGGTCAGACGTCTGACACAGATCTCACTGGGTAAAATCAAGGCGTCTATAGGGCTGTGTTCCTTTCTCAAGGCTCTAGGGGAAATCTGGGGGGGGGGGCGGTTGTTTTTGTTTTGTTTTTGTTTTTTTGCCTTTTCCAAATTCTCATGGCCCCTTCCTCCCATCTCCAAAGCCAGCAATTGGTCAGTCAAGTCTTGCTCATATGGCATCACTCTGACACATTTCTGCCTCCCTGTTCTACATTATAAGAACCCTTGTGATTATATTGGGCCCAAACAGATAATTCAGGATAATCGCCTTATTTTAAGGTGTCTTATTAGCAACCGTAATTACCGCTTGTCATATAACACAACATATACATAAGGTCCAGGGATTAGGATGTGGACATCTTGGGGGAGGGGTTAAGCTTAAAGTCAGAAAGTTTTATACTACTTAGAAGATCACTGAAGCCTATCAGTCCATCATCCACGTTTTACAGATGAGGTAACTAAGAGAGGTTAAGTAACTCCTCCCAAATCACACAGCCAATTAGTGGCATAGTGACAGCTAGAATCCAGTTTTCCCAACCTTTATCTTTCCATCCTATCATTCCACCTCTAACTCTGTCTAGTATTTATTGCCCTTTTCATCTACACTTCATTTGAGAGCTTGTAGTCGGTGCATTCATTAACTAATTACTTTGTAAGGTGATAAAGAACAACAACTAAGGATTTATAATTCTCAGGTCTAAAGATGGTATCTTCAGCACTATCCCTTATTTTATTTCTAAGTTTAACTGTACACCCAGGCCTATATTGTAGAATCACTAGAAACAAAACTACTTCAGCAACTAAGGCCTCTTTGGATGGCACCCAAGTCCAACTCACTTTATACATTACATGACTGTGCCAGACACAGCTAATTCCATCCGTGAGCTACTTTTAATTCATTTCTAATTTTAGTCCCCTATGAAGAGTAAGTCCTGCAGTCATAATTTTTAAAAAATCATTAGCTCATCTAACATGGCCAATAGTGAATAGTATTTAATACCTACCTGTATTTATCATTCTTCTCTTCCTTCTTGAACACTCTTCTCTGAAGTTCCACATTGCTAACTCAAGCCTCTTCTTGTGGAAAATCAAGTCAGTTCTTCCAAAGACAGATCGCCATGAAAAACCAATGACACATGGACTTTTCTAGGCATTAGGCTCACAGGTCTTGGCGAATCATGCTTTCACTAATAATCTTTATTTCTTATGACATGTATCACACATTTTTTTCAATTATTCATTCAACAGATATTTTACCCTATGTGCCAAGCACTTTCCTAGCTGCAAAGGCCACAACAATGAAAAACACAACCAGAAACCCCTGCCTCGTGGAGCTTACATCCTAGTGGGAGAGACAGGATCAGTGGAAATAAGTAAAATGCGTAGAATGTAGATAAATGCTGAGGAGGAAAATAAAACACAAACGCGGGGCAGGAGAACCGATTTCAGATCATTGGCCAAAAGCCTCGCGGAGAAGCTGATTTTGAGTAAAGACCTAAAGGAGGAAAGGAAGCAAACCGTACAGATACCTGGGGCTTCCCATTGGCAAAGACCCGGAGGTGGGACCATGCCTCTTATGATCAGTGAACAACAAGGAGCTCCTTAAAAGAAGAGGAGCTTAAGAAGAAAGTGGATGATTAAAAGACATTGGCTCATATCCTGAATGAAATGAAAATCCATTGGCAAATCTGAGCAGAGGAGTGACATAATGTGACTTGTATTTTAATATAGTCATCTGGGAGCTATGTGAGAATGGACAGAAGGAAGGCAAGGGCAGAAGCAGGGAGGCCAGTTCAGAGCCGTTCACAACAATCTAGGCAAGAAGTGATTGATGGTAGCTTGAACGCAGTGCAAGTGGAGAGAAGTGAGCATCTTTTGATTGTATTTTGAACGTAGAGCTGACAGGTTTTGCTGAGGAGTACACAGGTCAAGGTTACTCCAAGTTCTATGGCCTCTGCCAGCAGAAAGGGAAGTTA